GACTTAGTGTCTTTAAAAAGTCAATGTCACTTTAAAATATGTATTTTTAATATTATGGGAGTGTTTTAGATTTAAAGGAGGCAAAAGAGAGATCACAACCAAATGAAACACATGGGAGCAATGTGGCTCCCCACCCGGTTCAACATATGGAATAGTTGGGAAAGGCATGTAGGAGAGTTTCGAATACGGGCTGGGTATTAGATCGTATCGAGGAATTGTTAATTTTCTTAGATGTGATAATCATGATGTGCTAATTAGGAGACTGTCCTTTTTGGAAATGCATGCTATGCAATAGTGGGGCAGCAGTCATGATGTATGCAACTTCCTTTCAAATGATTCCATAAAAGAAAAGGAAAAAAAGAAGTACACACACACAAAGAAGTATGGCAACATGATAATTCACCTAGATGGTGTGTGGTTAACGCACCATTCTCTTAACTATTTTGTATGTTGAAATAAGAAGTTGGAGCAAACAGTATGCACTGCAGAGTCAGAAAGAACAGGTTCAAATCAGCCCTGGGCTTGCTGGCTGAACTTGGCTGAGTCTGTTTCCCACCCTAGACCAGCACCCTGTAGTTCCCTGGTGGTGGGTTATGAGACTAACCAGGGTGTGCGCAGTGCCTGGTGCTCCCTCAGAGCAGGTGGTGGACCCCTCCTTCATGAAGCCCTCCCTGACCCCTCCCACCTTCCCGCATCTCTCATTTCTGTAACCCTACAGTTTGTTTGCCACCAAATGTCTGTGAATGATGCTGTTGGTGCTTCTGGGGCACCTCTCAACAGAAAGGGCCCGCGGGAGCAGCAGTGATCGTTCATCCTGAATGGGACCTTGCACCTAAATTATCTCATTTTTATTCTTCAAACAACCACACAAAGTTAGAAATGATGGATCTCATTTTGGAAATGGAGCACCTGATACTCAGAGAGGCAAACTGTCTTCCCCAAGGTTGGCAGGAATGGCATGGAAAGCAGATCTGCAGGACCCCAGAGTCCCTCGGGGCTCTGCCATGCACCTGCTGTGGGTTCCCGTGGGGGAAGCTGCAGGCTCAGTGAGGAAAAACCGTTGATAAGCAAGGGCCCAGCCTCCAGCCATCAGTCCTTCCAAAGGCCCAGCACAGAGAATCTCTATGGAGATCCAGCCCAGTCTACCAGCCAGTGGAGAGAGGCCAGTGCCGGGCTTGCTGAGGACAAAGCCCTTGGAAAGACACTCTCCACTTTTCCCAGGAAGCAGCCTGTATTGTTCTAGAATCTGCTGGGTGGGTAGAGCCACACCAGGAGACATACTCACTAAAGAACATGCCAGCTGAGTGCACACCCCCAGCCTGAGGGCTCTGCGCCCCACCCCCTGGATGCAACATCCAGCTCAGAACTGCTGGCTGGGCTGTGAGGGGCAACATGAATGTGTTCAAGAAGAATGTGAGTGTGCCCACAGGGAGCCTTGGCCACAAATGCCTCTTTGCTGTATCCACAGGAATGGGGAGCCAGGGAGATGGCCGAGAGAGGGAAGAAAGGGCAGGGAGTGGGACAACATGGAAAGAACAGGGGAAAGATAGGAAGGAGAAGAGTAGAGGAGAGGTGGAGGAGGAAGTGAAGTCAAGTCAGATGGGGAAACGGACACAGAGGTGGCTGGCTACGGCAAGGGAAATTTGCATGTGGTGTGGAGGGTTGTGGCCAGCCCTCCTGTCCCAGGAGTTCTGGAGTAACACATTTCCCAGGAGGCCCAGCCATGGTGGATGCAGGCTGGGACCGAGGGCTGGGCTCAGACCCGGCCCCTCAGCCTGCAGGGCTCTGGAG